GACTAGCAGAGTAGACGCCATTCGTCCGGAGCACTGCACTCCCATCATCCACACTGTTCAGATACAAATCATTCTGCAATTCTCGTTGAACATTCAATAAAACTGATTAGAACTGAAACTTCTCGTTGTTTTATGACCCATTCAATGCCATCAAATGCTAACAAATTTTGACTGTAATCTGATAGCTTTCCGATGCTCACAAATGCCTCCGTCTACGTATTCAACGTTTTGGGAGAGTAATTGAATTGCTGATAATAAAGGTGATAAATATATTAGTGAGATTATAAAGTATGATAATGATGCGAAAAAAAAAACATACGCATACCATAGGCTGATGATGCCTTCGAACTAAGACACACTTGGCTGGCACGAGAACTCTAGGTTGAGAGAGGGATTTTACAGCGAATGGTGAGCCGTGATTATGAAACGGCGCATATGCCTGATGTTCTTGTGGACGGTTCAGGTATTTCGGCAGCCTACCTGAAAATTTGCCATAACAATGAGTGTACTTGGTTGTCATTTAGTCAACCACAACACCGATGAGAAAACTGAATACGTCACTTTCACTGAAAATCACTTTATCAAGTCCTTAGATCGGACGTCATATAGAATCGTTAAAAGTCTTAGCTACACCTGCCTAAAGTTTTCCATCCTACACAATTACCAATATAAAATCATAAGTAAAANCCAGCACGAACAGAACAGTTCACAATCGATAGGACTGACGTTAAGACTGGCAAAATGTAATAAAAATAACAAACTTCTCGATGGCACCGATCTGAATGCTTCACTCAAACGATCTGCAGCCCTTTCCAGCTCCTCTTCTTCTGCGTCCACTATAAACACGATCAAACTAACGATAACAACTCAAAGTTTAAGCGAATGTGCAATCAACGGCACATCATTATTGCATCGAAGATAAGAGTTCAAGTTCAAAACCAGAAGGATTCGGTGAAAAAATGAGGCGATGCTAAACAAACGGGCATACAATTGTCTCATTTCCTCTTTGACTATAAACTTAGCATTGTGATCGCTCGCAATTCACTCATTCAAAACAATGAATGAGTTGACAAGAATGAATGTAACGATGTCAACAAATCAAAAAATTTCCAAAAAGATTCCAAAACACTTATAAACACTTTCCAATGAACTCGAACCAACTGAAAACCACAACGCCATTTACCTTTCTGTCGTAATCCACTGAATGTTGCGCCATGTCGAAATGCTCTCTTCGTAACAATGAAATGTCGTCGTCGGCGTTGTTTTGGTGGTGCTTCATCA